CGAGTAGCTGGGACTACAGGCATGTGCCACCATGCCCGGCTAATTTTTTCTATATATTTTTAGTTGTCCAGATAATTTCTATTTTTTTTAGTAGAGACGGGTTCTTGCTCTTGCTCAGGCTGGTTTCGAACTCCTGAGCTCAAATAATCCGCCCTCCTCGGCCTCCCAGAGAGCTACAGGCGTGAGCCACCGCGCCCGGCCTTAATCTGGCATTTTAATTTGCCTTGAGACTATACTCACAAAAGCTCAGTTAACATCTATTAATAATAACTCACATTAATTCCAACAGCTTTTTGAGAGATGAACACAATGTAGAAGGTTTTGAGAAGCCCTCAAAAAGAGGGCTAAGGGCCTACAAGGCATATAAAGGGTTAAGGGCATTAATTTCCATATACTTGACTTCCACGTGATTCTTTGGTAACACTGACCTGCCAAAAACACCCTGCAGGCTCTCCTCTCCTTTCTCCCTTTCACAAACCCACTTTACAAAAGAAGGTACACTTGTTATCCACCCCAAATCCTGCTATGGTGCCAAACCTCTGAGATACCAAACAAAATGACAAGTTGAAATATCAGTATTGGCAAAACTCCTGCATTCAGAGCACCCCGGTACAGTTTCTATTTTTCCCTATCCACTGAAGGCAAAAGTAGGGAAACAGAAATGGGGCATTTGGGACCAGGTTGAATTGTCCTGAATTCAAATATACTGCAAGGCAGGAGTGAAACTGTCATTCATCTGCCTCTTCACTGCTATTCTCCACCTGTTGTCAAAGAATGCGCCACTTCCAAAGGTGCAAGGCAGAGGGAACACCTATCAGAAACCTGGATGTGACATGCGGGTGACACACTTGAGGAAAGGCTCTGGGCCTTGTCCATCTTAGAATCAGAATTCAGAGGGAGTTGACTATAATGGAGAGATTTATTTTAATAATTAAAAAAATGAAGCCAGACTTTTTCTACGAGAAGGCATGTCTGGTTTAGTCAATGCATTTCATAATAAGGACTGTCAGTTAGACTCTGTCACAGACGTGCTCTTCAATATGAATTGAAATGAATAATATTTTAATCCTTCCAACCCTGTCCAAGTATATTGGGTTAAAACTAGGTGCCTCTAAGTGAACGATTAATGATTATAAATAATCACTTGTTATGTCTTGAAAAACTGCTTTGTTATATACCTCCTAGAAGCTGGGAAAGCAAATGACACAAAGAAATACTTTTGCAAGTCAAAGAGGTTTCTATTTCTTTACTTTCGACAAAATTAAAGACTCAATTAAGTTCTCCACTGATAGATCATTATAAATAATTTCTGATATCATATCACTAGGTGATCTTAGACATATAAGTTGGAAGGCACTGAAAGAATTGCGTGATTCTCCTATAACAAAAGTCTCTCCTTAGCCATTCAGTTATCTATGCAAATAAGTCTCTCGATACTTACACACATAACAAAAAGTGGAAAAAGAATTGATGTTGAATCCTGTTGCATTTTAGCAATAAGTAATATCAACAATGAATATATGAATTGGAAAAAAATCCCAATCATTATAAAGTTCGAAAGCTTTTACTTTTATAATATAGCAAAATAGAATATATTTATTTTTGACCAATTGTGACAACTCAGTCCAGAAGAAATGTTTTCAACCCTGAGAAACTTGAGTCACAGTACATTTTTAAAAACTGAGATTTCAAATATGTGCATAGTTGTTTTTTTTTTTTTTTTTTTTTTGAGACAGAGTCTCACTCTTTTGCCCGGGCTAGAGTGAGTGCCGTGGCGTCACCCTAGCTCACAGCAACCTCAAACTCCTGGGCTCAAGCGATCCTCCTGCCTCAGCCTCCCGAGTAGCTGGGACTACAGGCATGCGCCACCATGCCTGGCTAATTTCTCTATATATTTTTAGTTGTCTGATTAATTTCTTTCTATTTTTAGTAGAGACGGGGTCTCACTCTTGCTCAGGCTGGTTTCGAACTCCTGAGCTCAAACAATCCGCCCACCTCGGCCTCCCAGAGAGCTAGGACTACAGGTGTGAGCCACCGCGCCCGGCCAAGTGCATAGTTTTGATAATAAATGAGTATGAAAGACTGGTTGTAAAAGACCTTTAAGCATAAAAACATATTAGGATAAAATTCTGTGGGGAAGACCGAATGGATGCAAATCAAAGGAGAGAAGAGAACTTGTAAAACTTCCAACAGCGAAGTATGATCAGTGCATTTTATAATGAATGATGGTGGGTATCAAATTGCTAGGGTGTTTAGATTGCACTGAATATTTTTTTAAAGCGTTATTGCTGTTACAATTTCCTAGTAACTAATCCTTAGTAACTCTTTAAATTTGTAATAAAATATTGTAGATGTCAACTTAAGTGTGTTTGGGTGTGGGAGAGGGTGGGCGTTGCATGGTTTCTTCAAAGTTCTTCTAAGGGAGTAAACAATTTTTTTTTTTAAAGTTTGACCACCCCTACACTATCCCATTCTCTCCTAAGTGGGGACCCCAGGATTTCAGAGATGGAGGAGACCCAGAGCCACCGTGGCAGCGACACAACTGCTCACATGTCTTTCGAAGACCCTAGGCCAGACAGGCATTCTTAGGTCTTGCCTGCGCCTGCACCTTGGGGAAAACCAAGGGGTTTCCTGGGGTTCCTGCAGTGCCATGTGGCACCCTGGGGCGTTAATGATGCTGTTACTAAAGTTGTCTCAAAGCTCGCTTTGCCCTAACTGCAGGGCTCTGGGAGGGCGACACGCGCGCAAACCCAACCGTACACGGGTGCTGGGCGCCCAGGCCCGGCGCGCACTCGCTGTTGCGGCGGCAGCACTCGCAGTCCTGGCTCCAGTGGTAGCCGGCCGTGCAGGCGCAGCGCCGCGGGGCCGTGCGGTTGCCGGGGTCCACGGCCACCAGGGCCTTGCCTGCGGGAGACAAGAGACAGGTCAGCGGCCAGGACGAGCCCAGGCGGAGCACAGCACACCGTCCACGTCGCACAGCTGTCCGACACCCGGCCCAGAGCGCCCAGACAGCCCGCGCGGCTCGCTCACAGCGTGAATCACTAAGGACGCGCTGTTTAAGGAACTCCCAAGTTCCTCCTGGCACTTCCTGTGTTGGCACCAACCCGTGCCAGCAGGTTTTTCTCTCTCTGATAACTAAGAGTTTTGTGGGCTTTTAAAAAAGTCAAGTTGCTTGTTAGGAGGACGATAAGGATGAGGGAATTTATGATCACTGAACATTTTGGCTAACGCAGAACAGACAGACATAGTACACAGCTCCTTGATTTTTAGTATAATAAATTCAAATGTCATAGGTCTCCTTAACACCAATACTAGACTGGATCTAAAAGAATGGGGTTTCTGGAGATTTGGGATTCCTCTTGGGATCTGGAAGGGTCCCCCGCGAGAACGGGAGTCACGGTGTGCTGGGATAAGCGAGGAAAGCACAGACGTGGACCTGATGACATACTTGGGATAAGACGTCTGTCTCTTTGTACACAACACATAGCAAAACTCTCGCCTTCTTACTCTAAATCTCCTGTCCCCTTCCAGTTTTCCTGGAATGCAGGCACACGGGAATTGATCTGTTGTAAACTACACACACACACACACACACACACACACACACACACACACACACACACAGAGTCAGTCCTCATTATTCGCAGATTCATACTTGCAAGTTCACCTACTGGATAAAATTTATTTGTAACCTCAAAATCAATACTCTGGGCACTTTGCAGTCATTCCCGGCTGAGCCCAGAACCGTGTAAATTTTGAGTCACTCCACACTCAGGTCTCTGAGGTCGAACCAGGTGACGCTCTGCCTTCTTGTTTTAGCTCTCGTACTGTAAACAAGTGTCCTTTTTGCAGTCTATCATCTAGTGCCACATTTTTCTCATTTATTTTTGCTGTCTGTTGGCGATTTCCCTGTTTAAAGCAACCCCCAAGAGTAGTGCTGAAGTGCTTTCCAGTGTTCCCCAGAGCAAGAAGGCCCTGACGTGCCTTGCGGAGAAAACACGTGTTAAATAAACTTCGTTCAGGCATGAGTTACAGCGCTGTTGGCCCTGAGTGCCGAGTGCTAATGAATCAACAACACATATCACATAAGGTGTCTTTAAACAGAAACACACATGAAACAAGGTTATGTGTTGATCGGTCAATGAAAATGTTGTGACAGGAACCTAACCTAAGCCTGTATTTCCCCTAGGAGCAACGGCTCAGGATTTGCTAATTCGGTGACATAATTACTGTGAATAACAAGAATCAACTGCACACACACACACAAACACACACGATACAAAACAGTAATGTATTTAAAACAGGCCTGATGCCCTGTAGGGCTCCATCTCACCTGGACTTGTACCTTCTATTCCTGAGTACTTACAGGAGTTCCAAGAGAAAAGGAAACAAACCAGAAATCTGTCCCCCCCTTTATTGTCTCAAGTCACAGCCAGCAGGGAGGGGACAGTTCCTATTTCCACTCCTGTTAGACTCACACATGGTGAACCTGGCATGGTGAACCCATGCCCTTCAGCGCCCACTTTCCAAGGCCCAGGTCAGCTTTGCAGCCCCAAGGCCAAAATGCAGAAACATGTACCTAACGCATGGGGACATACATGGACACATGCCACTTTTCAGGAAAATTCTCAGCACTCCCAGAATCCCATGCAAATGTAAGTGAATGTAAGCCTGTGGGGTGATGAGTAATTTTGACATATTTTAAAATATCTTTACACATCAGGTTTTAATCAATTTTGGCAGTAGACAGAATGAATCTTTATTTCCAAGAGACAGCAATGAGTCAAGGTCATTACTAAGCAGTGGGAAATAAAAACGACTTGATCAGATGCTTCTGCTCAGTGGAGTTTCCATGTTACCTTCTCCAGCCAAAATCTGCCAGCTATCTCCAGCACATGAGAAAAATTATGGTGTTAAAAACGGTACTTAGTCCCTAGTTCTGTCCAGTAAAAAAAAAAAAAAATCTATAATCAAGGACCACTCCAGTAGCAGGGAGTCTCCCTAGTACCGGACTGAGGTCACTAAATAAAATGTTCCACTAAAAGCCATCAGGAACCCATAGGAATCCTTAGCTGATTATAGTTTCGGACAGGGATTGTCCAAGGTAGGCCTGGAAGCAATAGTGCTCTTAAAGATGCCTGAGGTTGTATCAAAAGACTTGGAGCCACCTTGAAGATGTGTGACAATCTGAGCACCAGTAAAACTAGTAACTGCAATAGAGTGAAACAGCTCAAATGCATCTAAATTAAAGAGTTCATAATATTGATATGAATCCTTGTGAGTATGCTTGCTAAGGCACTGGTTTGAAAAGTGACAACGTTACAAGCATTTGTTCTGCCTTGCCTGTATGTACTGCACTTCAGGGTAACAGAGTTGATGGGGGAAGTGTCAGCTTCTAAGGCATACAGCTAATAGAAGAAGAAGAAACAAGAGAATTAGAACATCACCTTTCTGCAGCCCCTAATAAAAATGGATCTAGACCATGCTCATTAGCAGCTGCCAACATCATAAAGAGAGACAGCAGTTATTATATGACTGCAACATTACATGTATGAACTATATTATGCATGGAGTTTTGCCAAAAACAAAACAAAAAGAAAGCACAATGTGATTGGCTTTCTATAACAACCAATTTACAGGAAATACAGGGGACAGAAGAATATGTTAAATGACACCAAGGGAACACAGTTGGCAAAACTCAGACTGTGGAAGCTCCACGGGATGAACAACATGGGTTCTTCAACAAATAAACTGAATGGACAAAGGAAAAAATGACAGAGAAAGGAACCTCTAGTTTAAGAAGCTTCAGAGATGTATTTTGATCCTGATTCCTATGAATAAACTATAATTAAAAAAAAACATTCAAGGCAAAAAAATTATGGCAGCCCGGTAAGGAGATGAAACTACAGAGTTAATAAAACATTTTAATTTAGGAAAAAGGTGTAAGAGTCAGAAGATATAGTTTTAAGTCGTGCTTCTCATCTGTTAACCTTGGAGAAGTCATTCAACCTCTCTAGGTCTCAGTTTATTCATCTATAAAACAGGTTAATTATGGCCACCTCACGGGGTTTGGGGAAGGAAAACATGTGGGAACATTGTGTCAACTGTAAGGTGTGTTCCATTTTAACACAGGGCTTCAGGGATATAAAACACATCTTTCTGGGGGTTTTTGGTCAGAGCTTCTTCCTTTGCCCCCCAAAAGAAACAGCATAGGCTGTATCTAAAAATGTCTATACAGAAGAGGATATCAGGCTGGGCGCGGTGGCTCACGCCTGCAATCCTAGCACTCTGGGAGGCCAGAGCAGGAGGATCGCTTGAGGTCAGGAGTTCTAGACTAGACTGAGCAAGAGCGAGACCCCCGTCTCTGCTAAAAATAGAAAAATTAGTTGGGCATTGTGGCACACGCCTGTAGTCCTAGCTACTGGGTAGGTTGAGGCAGAGGATCGCTTAAGCCTAGGAGTTTGAGGTTGCTGTGAGCGAGACTGATGCCATAGCACTCTACAGGGCAAGAGAATAAGACTCTGTCTCAAAAAAAAAAAAAAAAAAGAAGAGGAGATCAGAGGGACAAAAGACAACTGGGTTCCTGCCCTTCCCACTGACACATTGGTGTGACCAACTCACCTGTGTCACAGACTTTATGCAGCAAGCATTTATCTTCTTCATTCCAGGTAGCCAAGTATTCATCCCGGCCACAGGGCAGACAGACACTGTCAGAGGTAGTAGTGCACTTAGAAGACATGTACTTTCCTTAAATTGGAAGATGAAAAAGGTACCAATCAAAAAATGAAAACCAAACAACACAAAGCAAAATGACAAAAAGAACCACACCAATCTATTGGACCAACTTTTGTGCCCATGATCCCAGGAAGTCCCTCAAAGGCGATGTGATACATGAGACTAGGCCACAGCACACGGTGCACGCAGCACCCGGGCTCCTTAGGCTGCTCAGCTGGCTGCATACCCTCCCCTGGGTTGCTGAGCCTGCAGTCGTAGCAGTCTCTTAGCTCTTCTAAGTAAAAGACCAACCACTCTTTGCACTCAAAAACTCTGCTACGAGTGGAGCTATGGTTCTAAACTAGGCCCTGCAAAACTTGAGGGGTTCCCTCGAGGGGGGCTAACCAAGAGGAACTTCATTGTCCCCTTCCCCTTCCATTTTCAAACTCCCCTCTGCTTTCAATCTGGGTAGTTAACTTCTTGTGTGCTGCACACACTATGGGCTCATGGTTGACTTGGTTTAAGAACCTCTCTCACACACACACATACTTGAAAAAAACCACTGGATCTCGGTTCTGCACATGCAAGAAATATTTGCAGCTGAAATATCCAAAGGGTCTTATTATAGGGTAACTTGCCCATCTCTGCCCTCCCCTGAACAAGGAGCGAGTGGGGACCCAGTGAACTGGGGACTTCACTGGGGCTGCAGAAATACTTGGCCACACGCCTGGCAGAGCAACTCTGGGAAAGCGGTGGCCAGGCCACCTTCTGTTCCTCAGCAAGTATGTGGGAGAAGGTATGATAGGGTTTCAGCAATTTTCAGTAGCAACAATTCCAGTATAGCTATTCCAAAATAAAATTTCTGGAAAAACAATTTTAAACAAGAGTGGTATTTCACATTTTGAGAGTTTGAATCATAAAGTGCTAAAATACGGTTTTAAGAAAAGTTCTCGCTGTCTCAAGAAATAGTGTTTGGGAAAATTGTGTTTTAGTACAAATTAAGTACCGGTTTCTAAAACTGCTTTTGATCTTTAAGTGATTTTATTTATCTCATTGAGAAAAAAAGTGTTGTCTTTGTAGTGACAGACATTACCACTTGCCACTGCCATGAAAAGTCTATCCGATTTCTTTTGTCACCTGGCAGGACAGGAAAAAAGTAACAACGAAAGCCTCACCCACTTTTGAGGGGCAGGGGAGGGGCTCCGAGCAGGAGTACCTGGCTCGCATTTGCTGCAGCACCGTCCTAGAAGCTCATAGTGCCTCTCGCTGGGACACGGAGCAGAGACCTGCACAGTCACCTGAAAAGAACAGCGACATCAGGTAGCGATTACACACAAGTTCTTTCTGGATAAAACAAAAAAAACGAATCACCAAATTACATATCTATAAAGCACAAGAAAACACCATAAGCAGTTCTGAAACTGCTCTATGTAACATCACCTCCAAAAATGTCACTTTCCTATTCTCGCCCATTCCCGCCTAAGAAGGTATAAAACCGACATTTTAGCACAGGGCTTGCAAGCTGTTTAAGCATGAAAACCCATTTCAATAGTTAAAACCATTTCAGTAATGCTCACGGTAATATGATGGATTAAAGGAAATTTACGAATTATACACAGAAAGTTAAAAACGTCTTTGCACAAGCCACAAACAAAACTGGTCCCACTTCTCTGGAGTCAGGTGGTGGACTGTGCCCTCAGTCCACTTTGGTCATGAAACCGTAGGAACAGAAGGAGGCTCCGTAATATGATTATACCAAGGGATGTCAAATTTGGTGTGACGAGCTATTTCTGAATCTTAAAAAATGCTTACCTTTTAAAATGTTAAACATGCAGAGAATTTTTAAAAAGTGGGGAGAGGCGAGGTGTTGTAGGAGCTTCCTGGGCTTAGTCCCAGTCGCCTGTTGCCTGAGGAGTCTGGACAAGCTGCCTAAGCGTTTTGAGCCTCCAGTTCCTTTTTGCTTCAAAATAGTGTGATTCTAATGTAAATACTAATCTTCGAATCTGCCCTCTAAGTAAAACAAAAGAAAACAAAGCAGCCCAGGCCATTGTAATCACCCAGAGATTCTTATCAGTTTGCCGCAGGAAAGCTCTTTTCCTCATCAGCATTCTCTGCGTGAGAAAACAACAGTCCTGTTGATAAGCAGGCATGCTAGAGACTGAACAGTGAAACTGAAGAGCTGGGTTTAGCTGAACCGACAGACATCGGTTCATACACACCATGCTCGAGTTCTGGCTGGGTCCCTGGATGCGAAATTACAAACCTTCCCCTCAAGGGGCTTAAGGTCCAGTGGAGAACATGCACCAGCGTGGCTGCTACACGGAGGCAGCCAGGAAAGGTTTCCCAAGGGACCTTGGAAGCGAGCCCTGCCTTGCAGGATAAACAGAAATCAGCCAGACGAAGAGACAGGGACTGGTAGGTGGAGGTAGAGGGAGGGGCAGGGAAGACTTTTTAGACAGTGTGAACAGGTCGGAGGCAGTGAGGTCTGAAACGGCACTTTGAGGTGGCAATAAGAGCTCTTCAGTCCGGCTGGAGCCCAGTGTCACAACGGCAGTCAGAGGGGAGGAGGGCTTCGTCTGCACATTAGAGAGGTCAGATGGAGGGGGCAGAGATAACATGGCTTGGAAGAAGCCACGCATCTACAACTTCAAAATACCTCAACTGTGGAAGGAAGTTTTATCAAGAAAGCACCGAACCCAGGAAACCCAAGGCTAGCTGGGTGGGTGTGGGGGATGCAGCCAAGATAGATCTCTCTGAGCTCACCCTGTCCAGGCAAAGGACTTACAAGGAGGGCTGAGGGGGCAGGAACGGTGACTCTGAGGTTGGTGAGAAGGTGTGTTACTGGGGCGATGTGTGCCAGGAGGGTCACACCTGGACTTGTTTCCTGGGCCCAGCTAACACTCCCCAGGGACCCGACTAACATGAATAAGATGCTCCCAATACTTTCCACCAGGTGACAAGGGCTTAGGGACATCATAGTGAGCCTGGTGGAAATGAGGAGAAATGGCTTAAAAGAAGTCACCATGCCTCTCCCCTCTGGTCTCTTTTTCTTTTTGTTTTTATAGGAATGGCTTCCCTGAAGGCAGATACTTGCCCTTCTCTGGGTCTTTCTGGGCAATGTGCATACGTGAAAGAAAAACAGAAAGAGCAGAGGCAAAGTGGTAGGACCACATGTGGCCAACGCAGACTAACAAATAGGATTTATCTGAGCCTAAGGGTTTGTGGACACTGCTGCCACGCTGATGACAAGGGCGAAAGGGATGAATACGTAATTGGGCTGTATTTCAGATGACAAAATCAGCTGCTTCTGACACACAGGAACGTGGCACAGTCTCTGTAAGATAAGCGCACACCTTGTCTGTGTTACACACACAGAAAGGTACTTTTTAGGGGAATTTGGTAAAGGGCTTTCCCTGAAGCAGCTGTTTAGGGGCACTGTCAGATGCCCCTGGTTGTGTCCTGGACTCCAAGCCCCAGTGCCACTGAGCACCATACGACCTGGATTCGTGGACAGTTCATGTCCATGTTTAGGAGTGTGGCTGTGATTCATTCATCCCACCCATCGTCTAACCCAGGAGCTTTGCACCTCTTTGCAGAAAAAAAGGGGAAGTCACTGCTTCCAGAAGTGACCAGATGTCCTAACTCTTAAACAGATTTTCAGATTATTCCCTAAGATCCATTTCTCTCTCCTAAGCTTATAGCTTACTATGACTTTTCACCTGGTCACACTTCCTTCTTTTTCAAAAAATTGAGATATAATTCACATACCATAAAATCAAACCTTTAAAAGTGTATGATACAGTGGTTTTTAGTATTTTCACAAGGTTGTACAACCATCACTGCTATTTAATTCCAGAACATTTTCATCACCCCAAAACTGACATGTCTACTTAACAGAGCTATAGGATTACAGATCTTCTAAGCAGCAGCAGAAATTTTGCAACTGAAAAACTTTGCTATGGTGAGGCAGAAAGTTACGGTTTTATCTCATTTAAGGTACAGCTTAGGCAGAAATCCACTTTGTTCTCTATTTACATGCATACTTTGAAGTAGACCTTTAAACCTCTAAAATGGCAATATATATGCAACTTAAAGGGCAACATACATATATTTAAAGAAATGTGGTTTGGGGGCAAATTGAAAAAAAATCTGGAAAACTCTTTAGGATGTCCACACATGCAGAAGACAAAGCATGCCTTTACCATCCCTGTCCTCTTCCTTCCTGGTTCTCTGCTCCCAACTTTCTTTCCCTCCACTTGCAGATCCAGTTCTAGGATGACCCCTCTTATGAAAGGACTTTGTGGCTCCCCAATACCTGCGCATCATGTGGAACCTGCCTTTGCTGGGCTCACTCCAACTCTGTGCCCCAGTTCCAATAGTGGGCTCCTGGGCTCGCCCTGTGCATTGCAGTCTTGTGTTTATTAGGAAACCCAGTTCTTCTGATGCTCTAACCTGTCTTGCTTTGCCAGTCCTTTGAGGTCAAACATACTTGTTCCTTGATGCTGCAGGCCAGACTCTTTGCTTGCTCCGGACTCCCAGACTTGCCTGAGTCCCACCTGCTTGGGCTCAGTTTCCTGTTAGCCTGCGGCAGATCTCCTTATGCCTGTCTCCCTCTACCTGGATGGGCTGTCAGGTGCATCCTCTGGGTGTCATTTTTAGTATGTGAATGAATGGCTGTCCTTCAGCCAGACAGCTTGGTCCCTCCCTGTCTGACTTGTCCCTCTGCCTACAGCATGTCTAGTTCTGATGTCCACCATGTCACCACTGGCTGTCTTGCCCACCAGCTCTGGCAAGAGCCCGCAGGTGGCTCAAGACCCTCCTGGCAGCGGTCCTGCCCTGCCCCCTCTCTGGGCCTCTGACTTCCCTTCCCTTCCCAGAATTTGGGCCTGTCTCCATCCTCCAAGACCAGGCTCCCTATGGTTGCAAGGTAGTGGCTATTATTATTGGTAGCAATCCTAGTAAAGCAATAATTTGATAAAAACATGTCCCTCCTTAAGTGTTCTTAAGTAGTCTCCCAAGGAATAGGGCAATTTAGGCCTAAGGCTGCAGATTTTTGGTTACTGGGGTGAGTTTGTCAGCCACTCTGTTGCCTCTCTTTGCTCAAGATGCAGCAAAGGAAACCTTTTGACAATTGAGTTGAGATGCACAAGTTTTCAGTTACTGAGATTTTTTTTTTGAGCTTACCTTTAAGACTGTCTTGTTTCCTTCTAAGACAACAGAGTAAAAGCTTTTGAGTCATAGTTGTCTTCATGAAACAAATAAAGCAGAAACACTTAAAATTTTTCATCGTTTAAGTAGGGAATATAGCACATGATACAAAATTCAAAATGTCCAACACCCTATTTGGGGAAAAGTCTCCTTCCCATGGCTCTCCCAGTCACCCCTCCCTATAGGTAACCAATGTCATTTTTTGGGTGCATCCTTCTGGAAGCAAAAGGAGAACTGATTCAGGATACAAATGGGGGACTATTCTATATAACAGCTGTCGTGGAGGCCAGCTGGGATCAGGTCTGTCTCCAGTTCTTACATTTTGGGGAATATGATTTGACTTAAAGTACTTAGAAGTCGGCCGGGCGCGGTGGCTCATGCCTGTAATCCTAGCTCTCTGGGAGGCCGAGGCGGGCGGATTGTTTGAGCTCAGGAGTTCGAAACCAGCTTGAGCAAGAGCGAGACCCCGTCTCTACTAAAAATAGAAAGAAATTAATCGGACAACTAAAAATATATAGAAAAAAAATTAGCCAGGCATGGTGGCGCATGCCTGTAGTCCTAGCTACTAGGGAGGCTGAGGCAGTAGGATCGCTTGAGCCCAGGAGTGTGAGGTTGCTGTGAGCTAGGCTGAAGCCACGGCACTCACTCTAGCCTGGGCAAAAGAGTGAGACTCTGTCTCAAAAAAAAAAAAAAAAAAAGTACTTAGAAGTCTTGTAAAAAACAGCCACGTATTGACAGGCTACAGTCCTTAATCAACAGGCTATGAATACTCTGTTTGGTCCACAGAATTTACCTCAGCTACCCTTTGTTTTCTAATAGATCTCTCCTGAATTGGTAAGGAATATTAGAGTCTGTTTATAGCAGATGTCCTCCGCACATACTAATTCCCCCTGCAAGTTTCTTGGTAAGTCTGAAAAAAGGAGTTGAAATAGCAAGGTAATTTGACTTCTTTTGCCTCACTTTTTGCATCTTTTTGTGTCTTGTGTACATTTGTTTCAGAGCATACAGGCTGGTGTTTACCTTAATGGTGACAGACCCTTCTAGAATTAGATGCCCACAATCTGTGCAAGGCTTTGGAAGGGAGGGGCGAGACAATAAATCATAAATAAATAAAAATTCTCTTTATAAAGCTATGTGGATTTATTTCCCTATGCAAAGCCATGTTGGGTCTAATTCTGAAAAACCATAAGCTAAAGAAACATAACATTTCTGCCAGTGGAGCTATAGGGACGAATGGATCTGTATTTAGAATACCAAAGGGAAGGTTAAATATTTATTTTTCATGCTGTTAACCCAACTGTAGTGAAAGTCATTATGGATACTAAAATTACTTTCTTGCTCTACTGAAAATTCATGCTGACATATAACAAAGCAGAAAGAGGCCTGGCCCCTTCTGTCAAATCAAGAGGAAAAGAACCTCACCCAGAAGACCAAATGAGGGGTTTTCCATAGATTTTATAAAATATCATCCGTGACTATATTTGAGAATCTAGCTATAATTTCAGTAAGGATGGTATCGAATTTCTGAATGTTACAGTAGAACTGAAAGATGTGGTTTTTGTTAAGAGAGAAACTATTAAATGTGAAAATAACATCTTACTTAATAGTCCTGCTGACCTTGAAAAAAAAAAAAATCCTTAAAGAAAGTCACTACTGAAACTGATCCTACCCAGAACAGAAAGAATACAAATAAATCACTGGTGTCCTGTGTGCCCAGAACACTAAGAGAGTTTCTTTACTATGCCGCTCTTACGATAAGAAATTATCTCTCTCTGAAGCATTTTGTTCTCAGAATAAACAATAAACAAACAAAAGGTAGCATTAATAGATCAAAGTACCCTACAAACAAATGCTCTACTTCTTGTCCATTTCTCTGAATGTCATTTTTGACAGACAGCTGAGATGGCTGCCCAGAGAGGCGGTCTCAGTTCTGTCACTTACAAACGTCCAAGTAGTGAGTTGAAACGCAGACCCTTTAAATGGAGATGTTCTGGCACAGCCTTCTAGGTCTGCC